TTCAAAATCGAAATTGAAACAAATTTTATTTAAAACATTTTTTGATAAAAACAATAATTATTGAGATAATTAATTTTGATAGCATACTATTCAGAGGGAAATTAAAATTTCAAGTTAGCAAAAAATTGTATTTACAAACACTGTTCCTGAAGTAATTCTAAACAAATATTGTTAATAAAAACTTTTGATTTGATCAATAATTAAGAACATAATCTCAAAAAAAATTGTATACTTATATATATTTTTTTAATGAGAAAATCGTTTTAGAATTTTAATTTAGAACAACTTTTGTATGAAATTTTCTGCTGAGAACGAGTGGAGGGGGGAATTCGTATCGTTTTGTTACAAAAGTTCCGTGCTCTATTCATTACATCGACGCATTCTACACTGAAATCTTTTATGGGGGACACAAGCTTCGTGAAAAAGGAATATTTTAACCATTAAAAGTCAATGAAGATATCAAAGATTCAATGACATGAAGTAATTAATCTTATTTTGCAATATACCAAATATAATAGTTATGATTTCACCTAATTTTCCGATTTTTATGGGACACCTATTAAGAAAAGAATTATTTGCTTATAATTTATTTTTGGTTGCGGATTTTAGCTTTTAATAAACTAGAAACACTAAATTAAATGTACTAACAACTAAAAAAAAGAAGCGCCCCAATTTTTAAGATTGTTCTATTTTTTAAAAATTTGTGAATACATTTTTTTAGTCACTGTAGTCTTTCATGAATTTTGAGATACGCATGTTTTAAATGTATATATTTTTTTCTTTTAATATTCCCCATCCGCTTTTGCTTAATTTTCTTTGTTACAATCTATAAAAACCTTCATGGTTATTTTTATTTTTCTACATTTCTTTTCTTTGAAGTTTAGAATTTATTTTTTTACTTCATTTCGTTCTTCGATGTTAAACCCCTTCGAAATTCCAGTTAAATACCCTTTTAAAACCCACCCATTTCCGGTTGGTGCCATGCGAACAAGTGACCCTCGTTCTTTCGCTTAGCAAATTTAACAATGCCTCATCGTAAACGTTGTTACCACGGCGGTTCTTCTTGTTTTACGTCGATAACAACAATGACCGCATGAGCAAGCACCCCCTCAACAAAAAAAAACTTCCCCCTTTTTATTTCTTCCTCTTCGCCGAATTGAAACAAAAAGAAACAAAAATTTACAAAGCAGCGCAAACCAACCGTATAGTATCCTTTACTTTTTCGTACAATTTATTAGTTCTTGAGAATTTTAAATTATTTTTATTACTTTATTACTTAATTTGTTTTGGTTTTGATTTCTGTTTGTTGGTATCTTCATCCTTTCATCGGTGGTTTTTGGTGGGATTTAGACCCGAAGATAAAGGCTACGCTGCGCAAGCACCTGTTAAGCTCTGGCGATGCGGATATGGCGGCCGTCCATAAGGGGGGCGCCGCCCTTACCAGTACTGTTTACAGCCACGTAAGACCTGAATCGACGCCTCCGCGACTTCACCACGCTGGAGGTACAAATGGCAGCTGTCCAGAACAAGAACCATTACTTGGAGGAGGGGGTGGTCATCATCAGTTACATCTTAACAACGACGAGGACGACCAACGGTTACAATGGGAACCACTCGGGCCCCAAGGAACTACTCCTCATGATAATAGATCTTCGAAAGGACAACAACAGCCTAAATTTGAGGCATTCACGATGACCGGAGAGTATATTATTAATATTAGCAGAACGCAGCAAAGTTTGCTGCCTAAACAACAAAAAAAGGTATGTTATCTAAATGTGGTAAATAAAAAAAATGTTTTGCATTAACATTTTTTAGGTTGATAATTTAAGGTATCATAATAGTCATACTCATCACCTTCGTCATCAGCAGCATAATTCGGTACCAAATAGTCCAAACGAAATGGATCTCGGTTATAAAAAACCCTACAGCAAGTCGGGTTCGAGTTCGGCGAGTACATCGCCTGTTAGTGCCAACAAACGCGATTCGAATCCTTCGCCGGCAACGGAAACAACTTCGGCGAAATCCTCGGCGTCGTTCAACAATTTCGTAAGGACGAGTCGAAGCGAAGACCAACTACAAGACGCGAAAAGTATCAGCGCTGTGGACATCGAGATCGACGACGACGTAACCAGCTCGCTGAATACGCTGCTCGATACACGACCCGATTCGATAGCCGCTTCTGGGAACCCCGGGTCTCATTCAGCAACCGATCGTATCGTTTGGACGTATAACGCGCCCGTAACAGCCAGCTCCGAGGCCCACAAATTGTGCCACACACTTTCGAATGGTAGCAGCTCGTCACATAGCACTTCACCATCATCGACGAGCCCTCTTCGGTCCGGTTCGCCGAATTCGCCAACCTCTATGTCTTCCTCGGTGATGTCAAGCCATTCGACGGGTTCGCGAAGGTATCCGTACACTTTAACGAACGGTCCCCATACGGATTCGGGGCAATATAATCAGACCAACGGAGATTTTAGTGTCTCTGAGGCGATTAGTAACATCTCCAGCCCCGATTATCATGATGATGATAGTATGGGGATTAGGGACTGCGTTATGGAGATCAGTGATCATAGTGATAGTGATAGTACACTGCTTGTTTCTGAACCTAAACACAGACAAAATAATACAGACGGTGATCATCGGATAGTGATACAGGTTAAAGGACCTGATAAAGATGGTAGTGGAAGGGGGAAATTTAAGGTAAGATTTTTTTTTTGACTTGATGTGTTGAAAATGTTAATAATAATAATTAAAAAATAAAAAATAAAGGTTAATTTTCATATTTTTGAGGTAAGTAAAGTCATTTTTGTAAATCGCGACGGTAATAATAGTTATTTATGTACCAAGTCGGCAAAGTGATGCTTTATCGAACGAGTCTGAGTTTGCGAGTCGAGCGAGGCGAGTAACAGGCGAGTTCGATAAAGACACTTTGCTGACGTGTTGCATACAACATTTTATCGCCAACCGCAAAATTTAACGATATGAAGATATTCCAACTTACCAATATTATGACATGTGTCAAACGATTTGTTTTGTTAATATACCTCGGTAGAGTTACACTATGTATCAAAGGTCGGTAGTATAGTGGAGAGGGAAGTGCGCTTTCATACAGAAGGTACCGGGTTAAAATCCAGCTGTTCAACGGCATTTTTTTCAAATTGACAGCAATTAGCGGCAGGTAAAGTACTTTGTCTGCCGCATATGCGGCAGGAAAGTACTTTTTGTAATTCGCGACGGTAATGAAAGCTATTACAGTACTCAAACGGGTGCTGTAATGACACTCTTTACAGCATCCGATGCTGTAATGAGATTTTAGTAACATTTTATGGAATCAGTTCAAGTTGGTGACATTGGGTCATTAATTTTTCTAGTTGTCAATGTGACAATGTTTGTCTATGGATGTTTAAACACGTTCTTAACTTTCAATACAAGGTCCACAATGATAAAGATATTGAACACTGAGCAATTTCTCTTATTTTGGGAGGTGTACATCAAACATTTTTATCAGGTGAATACGTTTGTGTTTTGACAGTTTCTATTTGTCAATTCAAATTTCTATTTTCAAGTGTTACGGTGTTACCAACTGCTACATACCTATTTTCCTACATTGTCAAAATTTATTTTATTTTTGAGAAAAAATAAGGATAAAAACGCGAATTACAAAAAATAGCATAAAAAGCACGTTTCATAAGACTTAAAGCACTCATTCATTAAAAAACTCGTGGCTTCACCACTCGTTTTTCAACTTGAATTCGTGCATTTCAAACGTGTCTTACGAAACTTGTTTTTTAATATACTATTGTCTGCCGCTAAATGCACAGTTTACTAGATCGTAGCACAAAGTGTCACTTTACTGCCGCAAATGGATAGCATAAAGTATGGTTTTGCTGCCAGTTGGCGATAAAACCTATTACAGTACTCAAAAGGGTGCTGTAATGAGATTTTAGTAACATTTTATGAAACCAGTTCAAGTTGGTGACATTGGGTCATTAATTTTTCTATTTGTCTAATGTGACAATTTATTTTAATTTGTTTAATTTCTCTCATTTCGGGAGGTGTACACATGGTGTGCAATCTTACTACTATAAAAATGTAGACCGAGATTTAGTACCCTCACAATCCACTGGATGACGTTGTAAACTGAATTTGCAGCAATCTGCATTATCTACACAAACAAAGCGCTTGTAACCATAGAAAAATTTATGTATAACGTCAAACTCAGAGGTGAAAGGAAACGTCACATTTTTGTTTTGTCGTTTAGTGTAATAATTGGTGATAACCCCGTTGTATAAGCAAATTTTCTTCCTTACGTTCTTTTGGTTTAGTGTTTTATATCCTTNTAAAATATAGGTGGTTCCATTTAAAAAAACCTAAGTTGTGTTTATAACTCAAAAACCGTGATGTCTTGAAAAATTCTACGTGCATCATTGGATTCTCCGTGAAAAAATCCATTAGAACCCGTTTTTACTTTTTTACTAAGTTTCCGCATAGCCGAGATACGGGCGGTGTCTGAAAATCGTAAATTTTGAAATACTCCCTGTATATCAAAAACGAAGAGGTCTATGAAAATTTGGTTTGCGGCATTATAAGTTTCACAAAAAAGTAGCTCAGGTTCGCAAAAACCGCAACTTTCTATCTTTCATAATAACTGAGATATCCTGCAAACCCATCGAAATTTGGACACCCTGTACTCAAAAGGGTGCTGTAATGAGACTCCTTACAGTATCCGATGCTATAATGAGATTTTAGTAACATTTTATGAAACCAGTTCAAGTTGGTGACATTAATTTTTCTATTTATCTAATGTGACAATTTATTTTAATTTGTACATGAAACATTTTTTTAGGTGAATACATTTTGTGTTTTGACAATTCCTAATTGTCAATACAAATTTCTATTTTTAAGTGTTACCAACTGCTACATACCTATTTCCCTAGATTGTCAAAATTTATTTTATTTTTGTTTAAAAAAAACAGGATAAAAACGCGAATTACAAAAAATAACATAAAAAACACGTTTCATAAGACTTAAAACACTCATTCATTAACTTAAATTCGTGAATTTCAAGCATGATAGTTTTTTAATACACTTTTGATTTTGAAAGAAAACTTAACCTTAAAATTGTTTTCGTAGAATTAAAATATTTCTAAATTTGTTAGACATCAAGTGATACTTTGGACCAAGATTTCGATGATGATAAAGATTTAACGCACCGAAACGATTCGGGTAGAGACGCCTCCCCGAACAATTCCTCTGAAGACGACAGTGACGTGGAGAGTCTTTTAAGTTTCCATTATTCCCCAAAAGCCGTTGATATGCCGTCAGCGATTCGACTTGCCAAACGATTGTACAGTTTGGATGGTTTTAAAAAATCGGATGTTTCAAGACACTTGAGTAAAAAGTAATTTTCTAGATTATTATTTTTTTTTAAGCGAAAATTTTTGAAATGAACGGTTTTTTAGCAATGATTTTAGTAGAGCTGTTGGGGATGAATACTTAAAATATTTCGATTTCGAACAGGATACTTTGGATATAGCGCTAAGGAAGTTCCTTAAACAATTTCCGTTAACCGGGGAAACCCAGGAACGCGAACGGGTTTTAGTTCCTTTTTCAAAAAGGTTTTTGGATTGTAATCCAGGATCGTTTAATTCACAAGGTAAATCTAAAAAATCCTTTCTTAAGTTTCATTTTAAATGAAATTATTTTAGATGCCGTACATACATTAACATGTGCAATAATGCTGCTTAATACTGATTTACACGGTCAAAATATCAATCGTAAAATGACTTGTAATGAATTTATTGAGAATTTAGCTGGATTGAATGAGAAAGAAAACTTTCCAAGGGAAGTTTTAAAACAGCTTTACCACGCAATTAAAAATAATCCGTTAGAATGGGCGTTGTAAGTTGAATTTTAGTTATTTTTATTATTTTAATTAATTTTATATTTTAAAAGGGATGATGATATCGATGAAGCAATGAACCAAGTAAACTTAAGATCGCACGAAGTGAATTTAGGTGGAAATCCATTCCTAGAAGTTCCAAGTTCGATGAATGCCATCGAATACATGAAGGGTTACGTGATGCGAAAATGTTGTTATGAAGCGAACGCCAAAAGAAGTGAGTAAAAATTCGTTATATGAAGGCCTTGTTTTGCAAAACGATAAAAAAATTAGCTCTTGGCCGATATACTACTTTGATTTCCTCTTTTAAAATTTCGTTTCGACAACAAACAAACATGTTGAGACAGAAGCGTTTGGTAAGATACAAAAAGAATACAAAAAACAACATATTTCCGTTTTCCATTTCTTTTATTTTTACTCATTTTTTTTTTGTATGTGTATTTTTTAATTTCGCTTACCATCTTCTTCTGTGTTTTTTTTTGTAAAAGTTTTAAATGCAAATAAATCGAAGATTTTCTGCATAGCATGTTGCAATACAAAATAGCTGTTTCGAAGGCCTTTGCTGCGTTTTTTTAGCTCCGTTTCACAAGCGTAGCTGGAAGATGTTTTACTGCACGCTCCGCGACCTCGTTCTCTATCTGCACAAGGACGAGAACGGTTTCCGGAAGGGTCAAATGGGCGACAATTTCCACAACGCCATCCGGATACATCACGCCCTCGCCACCCCTGCTACAGATTACACGAAAAAACAACACGTTTTTCGATTGCAAACTGCCGATCAAGCAGAGTATTTATTCCAAACTAGGTATGGAAAGTTATATTTATATGTATACTAAAGAGTTTGTATTTAATCCATTTTTTTTTAATAGCGATACAAAAGAATTACAATCGTGGATAGATACAATTAATTTTGTATGCGCAAGTTTTTCTGCGCCGCCTTTGGAAGCAGCAGTTGGATCACAGAAGAAATTTCAAAGACCATTATTACCGTGTAGTCACACTAAACTTAATTTGGTAAGTTTTTTATGCCAATAAAGTGCCCGAAACTTCCTAGTTCTAGCACTAGAATTAACAGTAGACTTAGAACTAGAAACATTCGGGTTTTGGTGTGCATCTAAAGTTCTAGATTATTTGTCTATATAAGTCGTGTTAGTTCTACTTTTAAGTCAATAAAAATATACAACAACCTAGTGCTGAATAACTGTTAAAAGTAGAACTTACACAAGACCTAGAACTAGAAACATTCGGGTTTAGTGGCACGTTTCTCAAGACGGCTAAACCCGAATTATTCTAGTTCTAGGTATAGTGTTAGTCCTAGTGGTGTACTATCACCAGAACTAACACAAGACCTAGAACTAGAATAATTCGGGTTTAGCCACACGTCTTTCAAGACGGCTAAACTCGAATGATTCTAAGTTTTAGATCTTATGTTAGTTCTAGTTTTAGTTCAATAGAAATATATAATAGGTAGTCATTTTTCATGGAGTGAATAATAGCGGCGAATAATCATTAATCACGGGTAATCAACTTGACAGACTAATAATAATTATTTGAAACGTCAAAATTTCAAAAAACGTTAATTTAATTTAATTTTTTAGGACTTTCTAAAGGTTTGACATTAAAAAAACGTAAACAAATTCCTTTTTTCGTATGATTTAAGCATATAGTTCGTTTTTTTTTCTATAATACTTGTCAATGTAAATTTTTTAGGGTTTCTGTTGGTATTATTTAGGGGTTTTCCTGATTTTTAGTAACATTTTCAGTAACTAAATAGTTGAGGTTAAAATACTAATACATTTTTAGATAAATACGATTTTAACGAATTACATATTTGTTGTAAAAACGTGCTACAAAGTACTTAAATAAAACAAAACCCCTTTTCTAGGTAAATAAATGGCAAATAAACATCCCACAACATTTTTATGCACCTTTTCTTTTTAAATAACGAAAGCTCAAACGTCAATGTGACATATTTATTTTAAAAGATGATAAAACAAAACTCCCTATTAATTTTGCCAACTGGTGAAGATACGAACTGAGTCCGATGCCATACCCCAGAACAGTATTCCATAACTTGCAACACTTTGGAAATTTGCAAAATAAGCTATCTTTGCTGCTTCGTGAGTTGCGACCATTTTCATTCTCCTGATGGGGT